GTTGTCTGCTATTTGATATGATCCATTCTTTGGGTAATACAGCCTCTATACTTGACATCACAACACTGAAATTGATATACCACATTAATCACTTTTGAGATAAGTGGAGCATCTTTTTGACGTCAGCATCCTAATAATGGCAAACACCATTTGTATTGTTATTGCATTTATAGTAGTGTGAAGCAGCTTCACTAGTTGCTCTATCTTTTGATATTACCCTGGACTGTCTTGTGTCTTCTCATGAATTTTGCACAACGTTTTGAGACACCTGATCAGCAAAACCATTATTTTACCAGATGGCTTTCATTTAGCAAGTGTCCAACAATAGATGTGATTATGTAGTTGGATAATATTTGCTGGTTAATCCTGAGTATGCAAAGAATTATGCTCACAATCTATTTAGGATTGCCAGTTTGGTTTGTAGTGAACTTGTGTACTGGAAATGAAACCAGCACCTGTGCCTGTTTCAATTCAAAAATAAACTACAGCCATTTGCTGGCTCACTTGTCAAGGCAATATCCTATCAGTCAACCTGCCAGGAGTAAAATCTAACAAAGCCTTACTGTTAACTGTTGCTCATTAACTCTTGCATTCTTCATGGGAGCATCAACCAGAGCCCACTTGCCAACCAATCTGTAAATTCTTAGTCTTTTCTTTTTAATCATAATTGTTTGCAAGAATACCAGTGAATGCATGATTTAAAAACTTCGGAAAAATCTCTTCAATATTCCAGTTCTGTGCTGCCAAACAACTATTTGTATACTTTTAAATAATGCTTTTATTAGCTATTTGGCAAATCCGTACAAGGAATGATAGAGAAACAGGATGTAAATTTACAAAGAAATATTTGTGATGCATCATATCCCTAACATTTTTGTAAAAACTAATTCTCTAGTGTAGTGGAACATTTCTACTCTTAATAATCTATTAGACAAATATTGGCTCATTTTCCCTTTATATTGAACTCTTGGTCCCTAACTTTTGACTTGACATGGTTCTAAATTTTGTGGAGACTTAAACTTTATATTCTTCAGAATATAATTATTAGTACATCCTCTTCCTTGATATTCAAATGTATTACTTCTCTGCAAGTTAACAAGTCTTTTGTTAGCATTACATTTTGATATATTAGCCATATTATGATGCCCTTCAAATTGAAATAAACTGTCTGAAATGCTATCATAAAGTCATGCAACACTAGAAAGAGGGCCCATCAGCCCATCAATGCCAACCCTACTTTTGTTTATCATTTGTGTTGAGAATGAATTTGAACAGTTAAGAACCTTGGAGTGTCCCAGTACTTGACTGGCTATCTTCATCCATCACGCACCAATGTCATTACAAATGCAAGATTCTGCAATTTGTGTAAGTTCCATCACGTGAATGATTTTTCTATGCTTGTTGAGAGAAGGTAACCTGAACCTCCAATTGTCCCAGTATATAATAGTTAGTTAGAGTGGGTATGGGAGTCTGTCAACCCTTCAGATTGAAACTGAGACACTAGCAACTCTACTAATATTTCTGGAATCTTTACTGGTCCAAGGTATTACTTGCAGAGAGCAGAAAAGCGTCTGTTAAATTGCACTGAGATAATATGCAAGTAGTTGTGCAAACCCTGGTCTATTGTCTATCTGGTTATCAGTCACAAGACATGGTTTGATACTAAGCAGGAGCAATCAAACAAATTTTTTTTTTTTTTTTTTATTTTTTAAATAGCTGGGTTGGTGTACACAGATGCACGTTATTTCACTTGTGTCAATGTACAATTTTAACACCTAGGGCACAAGTTAACAGTTAATGAATTAATGGAACATTATACTGTTTGTGAAGCTTTAAGAAATAGTCACTGGAGTTTTGTATGTGCTGAGTCTTACAGTAGGTGATTTGAGGTTGGCCGGAACAGGTTTCAGTAGTCCAGTCTGAATGAGGAATTTAACCACTGAACAGGTGCAGAGGTGGTTACAAAGGTGGAAACAACAGTCTGGTAATGAAGCAATGGTACTGACTGTCTCTGAATCTCAACCTGACACTAACCTAAGCCTTCAAAGTTGCAAACAGTTTGGTTCAACCTGGCTGACATACTAGCTTGTTGTCCCCAGGACTCTAACTTAAAAGATGAATGTTTTAACTTTGATTACTCCCTGGTCTGTCCTTTTTCATTCACTAACCACCTTCCAACTTGAACTTCTCGTGTGTGTGTGTGTGTGTGTGTGTGTGTGTGTCTTTCCCCCTTTGTCAGTTTTACAGATCCTACATTTTCTTTGTTTCTCAACTATCCACTCCTCGTTAAGACACCTCCCTGGAGTCCTCTCTTTGGCCAGTCTTTTGATAGCCCTTTTAGATCATTAGAATAGAATCCCTCCAGTGTGGAAACAGGCCATTCAACCCAACAAGTCCACACTGACCCTCCAAAGAGATTCCCACCCCAGACCCATTTCCCCTTCCGCGCCCACCCACCCCCCACCTTCCCTTCCCTATCCCTGTAACCCTGCATTTCCCATCACTAATACACCTAACCGACACGTCCCTGAAAACTACTGGCAATTTAGCATGGCCAATCCACCTAGCTTGCATATCTTTGGACTGTGGGAGGAAACCGGTACACCTGGAAGAAACCCACGCAGGCAGGGAGAATGTGCAAACTCTGCATAGACATTTGCCTGAGAGTGGAATCGAAACCAGGTCCTTGTTGCTGTAAGGCAGCAGTGCTAACCACACAGAACACCATGCCGCCCAAATGAAGGGTAGATCTATGTCTATTATGCCTTGGGTTTCCATGAAATGCTTTGGGATGGTTTTACACAGCACCTTACCTAGCAAAATAGAAGATAGGAGCAGGAGGTGGCCATTTGGCCCTTTGAGCCTGCTCCATTGTTCTTCACTATCTTGGCTGATCGTTCAACTCAATAGCCTAGTCCTGCTTTCTCCCCATAACCTTTTTGAACCCATTCACCCCAAGTGCTATTTCTAGTTGCCTATTGAATACATTCAATGTTTTGGTATCAACTACTTCCTGTGGTAATGAATTCCACAGGCTCACCACCCTTTTTGGTGAAGAAATGTCTCCTCATCTCTGCCCTAAATTTTCTACCCTGAATCCTTGTACTGTGACCCCTGACTCTGAACACACCCACCATCAGGAACATCCTCCCTGCGTCTACCCTGTCTAGTCCTGTTAGAATTTTGCAAGTCTCTTGAGATTCCGTCACCCCCCCCGCCCCCTTCCCACTGACATTCGTCTGAACCCTAGTGAAAACAATCCCAACCTAGCCAATCTCTCCTCGTATGTCAGTCTTGCCATACCCAGAATCAGCCTGGTAAGCCTTTGCTGCATCCCTTGAGCAACAGCATCCTTCCTTAGAAAAGGAGACTAAAACTGCACGCTATATTCTAACTGTGGCCTCACCAACACCCTGTGTAACTGCAACAACACATCCCTGCTCCATGTCCTCTCAGCCTCTCGCAATGAAGGCCAACATACCATTTGCCTTCTTTATCATGTGCTGCATCTGCATGCTTACCTTCAGTGACTGGTGCACAAGGACACACAGGTCCCACTGCACGCTCTTCTCTCCCAACTTACAGCCATCCAGGTAGTAATCTGCATTCTTGTTAATCACTTCGGAAGCAAAACCCTCCCATTTATCCAAATTATATTGCATCTGTCATTTGTTTTGCCCACTCACCCAATCTGTTGCAATCGTGCTGAAGGATCTCTGCATCCTTGTCATCGTTCACCCTCCCAAACTTGGTATCATCTGCAAATTTGGCAATATCACATTTTGTTCCCTCATCCATATAATATACTGCGAATAGCTGGGGTCCCAGCACTGGTCCGTGTGGCATCCCACTAGTTACTGCCTGCCAATTTGAAAATGACCCAATTGGGGCACCTGGATTTAATTTGTGCTTGTTGCATCAGAGTATAAAGGCTGATTGTGGAGAGTAGCCTCGTCTAAGTCACTATTCCAGTAACTTTGTTTTAATTTCATAATCTCTTGCATGTTCAGGACTTGATGCATGTCATAACTTGGGTGACAAATGCTTGCTGTATCACCTCCAGTCGATGGAACTATGATTCCATATACTGTGGAGGATAGCATTTAGGTCTAACATCTTGTGGTGATGTGCTCACCAGGCCGACTTTTTTTTTTTTTTTTTTTAAAAATGTTATTCTTGTTGGCCTTGCACTGGGGCTTGCTGTTGTTTCGGTTTCCATCCTCCATAGAGTTGAAGGGATTCTGCAATCAGGTTTGCTGATGAATGTTTGAAACTATGGCACAATGCTTTGGCTAACTGAGTACCTCCTGTGTAGTAGCGAAATCTGCAGGTACTGTTGATTGATCAGCTAATCTGCTCTTCAACAGAATCTATGGCTGTAAGCTTGTCGTCTGGAACAGAGATATTTTACACTGGATTCCTGAAGGCCGTAATAACTATTGTCCCAGTCTAACAACAGTAGGGCTGGGAAACCTTCCTGGGCTTTGACAGTGAGCTGTACACTTAAATTTGTTGGAGCCCAGCACTATCCTCACTTGCAAATGCTTAAGATCTTTCAAGCCTGAGCTCTTCCAATCTTCCTAAGCCTCTAAATACTGAGAGGATGGGATTCTCTTTTTAGAAGAACTTGTTTTCAGTAAGGAAAAGTCCTCACTTCAGAAATTATAATCCGATTCTCAGGAGTTAGTAAGATGGTGGGAGTGTCTCTTAATTTAGAGGTTAAGGCTAATGCTCTTTCACTGCAATGGTTTAACTTAAATTCATTGATTAAATCTGGAATTGAAAGTCTTAATAATGGTGACCTTTGCTCATCAATTGTCATGAAAACCCATTTAGGGTAGGAAATCTGTCCTTGCCTCTTCCTGTTTACAGATTCACAACAAATATGACTTAACTTCTATCAAAAGATAGATAACAAATACTGCCTTGCCAGTGACACCCACATCTCATGATTCTTAAAAAAAAAAAATACTCTTTTCCCTCCAATCCCACACCAATTTTTATTTTTGGCATTTTATCATTAGTCTTATGCAAGCTATGGAAATGTTTAGCAAGGTGAATGAGGCAGTGTCCCCATACTAATCTCTAACAATCAAGCAAACCATCTTGTGTGTAGGATTCTGGAGATAAGGCCATTGCATCAAACCATACAGCAGAGTGGGAGTTCTTAATGTCAGCGTTTAGTTGTTCACTCTCCCTAAATATTTTTGGGACTAATTTTAGACCTATTTAATCTTGTGGCTAGAAACCTAAATACCCTTAGGTTCTCTTGCTCCAATCTTTGAGACCCTGTAGGTCACAGAACTTGAGCCACAGCTTTACTTCCTGTTTACAGTTGAGCTAAGAAGTGGAGTAGAGTTCTTGTGCTAAATATATTTGAAAGTTCTTATCAAAAAATGTACAAGAGCAATATGCTGGTGTGAGAGATTTCATGAACTTGATTAAGTGCCTGTGAAGGTGAGTATGGTCTAGTTTGTTGAAAGAAAATACTTCATGTTCATCTCATCCAGTGTTTCACATTATTTCAGTTTGGTAACATTCTTGTGTTGGAGTTTCTTTTTAAATAATACATGTATAATTGAATGAGATTCATATCACAATTTGGATATCCTTTAATTTGGCCACCTTTTTGGGGGCGGTGGAAATACAGCTCTTGCTTCACCATTGCTACTGATATGTTGCTGCACAAGTAGGAGTATTATGATGGCATTACTGTGGTCTAACTTTTTCCAGCACTTTCAGTATAAATAGTAAATTTGGTTTTTCTTTTAGAAACTTCAAAGCACTATCTCTAGTTCATTTTGTCTGGTAAGAACTTGGTTTGGCTGCAGTGTTTCATTTTAACTTCTCAATGTTTATATATTATGGTTAGGCCTTTGTTCTTGCCCAGCTTCCTTTTGCAAAATGCAGTAAGAGTTGAGCAATGTCATAAAATATTTCATTTGAGGCATTGATCATTAGTCTACTGCCCCTTTTTTATGAATTGGCCTATGTGGTAGTATTCAAAATGGTTGACAAAACCACCAACCTTTTGGAACAAAGCTAATAGCATGCTGAATTACATTTAAAGTAGAGTGGTCGTAATGATCAACCTGTACATAGGGTACTCAGAATAGGTCACTAATCATAGTCTAGTGTGAGTCATTTTTCGACAGTAGATGGTGCAAACAGCAAAGAACAGTCACAAGGTCAATAGCTAGTTACCAGCATTTTGATCTGGAATGGAAGCATGAGGAAATCCTGAAGGTGTGATTTTCGGGTTGAGGATTGCAGAGAAGAAAAGATACCACTTGACATCAAACCATAAAAGTAGCACAAGCACATAACACCAAACAGGAAATGGTTACTTTTGATATTAGTACTCAAACTCTTCAGAGAGTAATAACTTCCACCTGGAATAGTGGGAGCAGCCATCCTGAACTCCTAAAAGCATATGAAGTAAAAGCAGAAGTCAGCCATTTGGCCCTTTTTTAAGCCTACTTGATCATGCAAGTTTGAAGTAGGGTCACTGCACTCCACACTGACTCTGCTTTCTCTCCATTTAGATACTGCCTGACGTGCTGAGTTTCTGTTTTTCTGATCCAACTCTGTACCCTCTTCCTGCTTTCTCCCTATATTCTTGATTGCGTTAGCTCTAAGTTATATCCAAGTCCTCCTGGAGAAAATTCAACATTTTGTCTTTGTCCTTGACCTCCTATGGCAGAGAATTTGATAAACTGTTCACTATCTGGGTGAAGAAATTTCTCTTGTAGTGAATGGTCTATTCTGTATCCTTGGACTGTGACCCCTGATTCTGGACTCCCTGGTTGTTGGGAGCATTCTGTATTTACCGTGACTAGACAATGAGTCACTTAATGAAATCGTCAGCCTGTGTGCTACAATGTTTTGGAAAAGGATGGCAACAGGATCTCTGCATGGACAAATAAAATAGGTTCCATGTTTCTCCTCCATTTATGATTTAATTAACCTATGTGTGCTCATTATCAAAAATTACATTCAAGAAAATGCTGCTCTCATGAACTGAGGATAGGCAGCTTGTTACCATAGAGTAGCATGGTCACTAAGCACTGAAACTTAATGAGAACACACATTCAATAGGAATTGGCTTTAAGCACCAGATCTGTTCAATAGTGGTGCTATATGTTATCAATTGTCCTGAGGTACGCTATTTTACCATGAGATTTATTGAATTTTGCTTTGCTACGTGATTTAATACTCTCCTTCTCGTTTAAGCAGTCTGTCTATGGTGATGCAAGCTCCACTGCAGTCTGTTGAACCAGAGATTGATTAAAGCATTCATATTTAATAGGATTGTAAATGGTAGAAGATGGGTACCTGACCTGCATTTGGATTAGCCGAATGTTTCTATCTTAAAACCAAAAGAAATTGCTGCAATTGACCCTATAGAAGGCAGAAATACCTCTAATGTATGTTAAAATTAATAGCTGAGCTCACCATTAGAACACGATGTCTGGCTAGGTGATAGTTTTATCTTCTCCTCAGCTAGCCACATCACAGGCATTTTTATAAACATGGTTCACATAGGAACCCACTAACTAGTAAAAGTTGCCTTTAGTTTGAAACAGCATAGCCTTGATGGCGATATTAAACTGAAGCCAAACCGAAGATATTGTAGAATGATACAGTACAGAAAGAAGCCATTTGGCCTATTCTGGCTACAAGGTCTCTTGGGGGTGGGGGGGACCAATGTAATTGGTCATGTTCTCCTGCTATTTTTCTGTACCCCAGAAAATGTTGTATTTAGCTATTGAAAGCTCCAATTATATCTCCTTCCAGTACCCTTTTTCAGAAAGGACACTGTAGATTGCAAGAACCCATTTTAAGAAAGAGAAATGTCTGTCAGTAGCCTTAAATCTGTGTCCTGTGGTTACTCGACCTCTTTTCAGTGAAAACGAGCAGTCCTTTAATCTGTCAGATCCCATCAACGTTTTGGATCCTTCTCCACCAAGTTCAGAAAGTTTGAGAGATTAGAGAGCAATGCAGCTTCTACGCTTTACTGAAAACCCTCTTCTGAGGTAGCATTCCAATAAGTTCCCTCTGCATTTTTTTCCCCCTCCACTCTTGACATCCTAAAGTGGTGAAACCCAGAAATAAACACTGTACCCTGAGGCCTCTGTATTAATTTAGCGCAACATCCCTGCTTTTGTACTTACCGCTATTAATTAAAGCCTAGGATCCATGGGTGGTTTAAAGTGTTTCTCAGTGTTGTGCTCTATCAGTGATATTTACGTGAATCCCGATGTCTGTTTCAACACCCTTTTCAAAATTGTGCTACTCGGCTCCTATTTCCCCTCTTCACTTGTCCTTCCAAAATGCATCAAGTACCCTTGACATTAAACTTCCCTAGTCTGTTGTTCCTCAGTGTTTTAATAGATTTCAGTTATGCTTCATTTATCAAACTTTTGGAATACAGCATGTTATTTTAAAGTCCATGTCATTAATATAAATCAAAAGAGCAATGATCCAAGCATAAAAACCTGGGGCACGTCACTATCTACTTTTTTCCCTTTTCTTTTTTGGAAAAATGACTTTTCCCCCACTTGCCACTGACTGAACTTTATCTCCCCTTCAAGTCAGTAGGTATACCGCCATTCCCATGCATTGACTCCTGTTAACTTCAGTTCTGCTAAGACAGCTGTAGTATTCAACTTCAAATTCCTTGTACAAAGTCCTCGTATACAACATCAGTCTCATCAAGTCTGGCAGCATC